CAGCCCCCCCGCGCTCAGCAGCACCAGCTCCTCGAGGGCGTCTCCGCCCAGCGAGAGGGCGAGGCTCTGCCTCCCGCCTCGCGCCGCCGCCTCTTCTTCGCTCACGAGGTCGAGCCTACAGGTGCAAGGGCAAGGGGGAGGGGTGAGGGGTGAGGGGTGGCGCCCCTCGCCTCCGGAGGTCGACGAGCCCGTCCAGCTCCGCCTCCTTGAAGCCGAGGCCGAGCCGGCGAGGCGGCCCCGCCCGAGGCGCCTCGAGCAGCGCCGCAGGAGCGCCCTCCCGCCCGCCCGCCCAGAAGAGCGTCTCGAGCGGGAGCGCGGCCAGGCCCTCGACGAGCGCGGTGCCGCCGTCGCCGCCCCTGCCCCCTCCAAAGGTGCACTCCCACAAAGTGAGCCGCTGCACGTGCGCCAGCATCTCGCCCAGGTTCGGAGGCAGGGCGCATCGCGTCAGAGTGACGGCGCGCAGACGCCCGGGCCTCGCGCTCGCCAGCTGAGGGACGAGGCGAGGCAGCAGCGCGCCCAGGTCGCTGCGCCGGTGGAGCCGGAGCGAGCGCACGGCGGCGCGCGCGGCCGAGCGCCGGTGGGCCAGCTGAGCCAGCTCGAGCGCGTCCGAAAGCCGGCTGGAGAAGCGCGAGAGCGTCGCGACGTCGGCATGCACCGAGACACGGCACGCGACACAGTCGTCGACCGGGTCATAGAGCATCCTCCCCACACCGGCGAGCGCCGTCGGCCACTTGTCGCACTCCAGGTCCACCGCCAGAGTGGTCTCGGCCTGGAGAAGCGCCGCGATCCGGCGCGAGGCACGCAAGAGAGCGACGCGAACCGCCGGCGTGTGCGGCCGCGCCGCTCGAAGCACCTTGCGCAAGAGGTCGTCGGAGAGCCGGTCGAGGTGCGGCGTGGGCTCGGGCGGAGGCGGTGACTGCATATGTGCACGTAAACGCACAACCCCGGGCCCGAAATCGCACAGGAGTCACGCAACACGGGGCCCAGCCAGGGAAGGCGAGCAAAATGACACACACAAAAAGAAAAAATACTTAACGCAGGATGGGGGAGGACGACAGGGTCCACACCTGCACGAGCAGGATTTTGGAAGGACGATCAGGGGCACAGGTGGGGCTCTCCTGCTCCTGACAAGGGACACGACAGGCTCGCAGCGCGGTGCACGGTGGACTCCCAACTCCACTGGCGGTCTCATCTCAGTCTAGCGACCTGCCTCCAGCTTCTGGCAGTCTCTCGCAACCACAGGCACACTGACACAGGGGTGGCAGGGGCGGCGGCAGGAGTCTCCCACATACTATGCGGGCCTCGCTAGAGGTGCGTCCTGTGTGTGTCCTCGCCCTTGAGGGTCTTGAGGGGGAAGGGGAAGGGGCTGTTTGTCTTTGCATGCATGCATGCATGCATGCATGCATGTGTGTGTGTGTGTGTGTGTGTGTGTGTGTGTGTGTGTGTGTGTGTGTGTGTGTGTGTGTGTGTGTGTGTGTGTGTGTGTGTGTGTGTGTGTGTGTGTGTGTGTGTGTGTGTGTGTGTGTGTGTGTGTGTGTGTGCAGGCGCTGTGCGAGCCGCCCCGAACGACCACATGGTGAGCGCGCCCGAGCACCGAAGCCCCGCGAGCGCCCGGTAGTAGATGATGCGGCGCCCAGCATGCTCTATCATGCGTCGCACCCACGGTGGCCGAGCCGACCGCCGTTCGAGCCTTCGACCTGGCACCGAGATCCGAAGTGGCTCCCACGTCCCAGATTCGAGCGCGGCAGGCTCAGGTTTCGCGCAGAACCGACGACCACCAGGGATCCAAGGCGCAAGGGCTATCTTGCACGACTGGCCGCGCCTGGCACGCAGGGTTCCAACTTTTTTGCGGGGCACGGTATATGGAACACAGCACACTGGCGCCACAGAGATCGCAGGTTCAAACACTCTTCGCCAGGGCGTCGATCGCATCGAGAGTCCCGAAGACGGCGCCGACCGACGCAAAGGCGACGATGAGGCCGTTCCACGCAACCTCGAGCGGGTGCATGCCCCGCACGCCGCGCAGCTTGAGGTAGAAGGCGGAGGGGAGGAGGAAGACGGTGAAAGTGGAGGTGCAGGAGGAGACGAGGTCGAGGAGCGGCCCAAACCTGTGCGGCACGCGTACATACAGGTGTGATTGCCACGCGTAGCGACAGTCCGGACGCCGGGGAGAGCGCGCCCACCGCTCGGGCGTGCGCACGAGCAGCGCGACGGCCGCGGTGAAGGCGACAAAGGCCGAGCGGACGCCGATGCGCCAGAGGAGCGGCGCGGCTCTGCTCTCCACGCGCAGGAGGCCCTCGAGCGCCGCCTCAGGGGTGATGGCGAGGAGGGGGTACGACAACACCAGGTGCGCGGTGATGGCGGCCGTGACGATGCGCACGGCGGGCGAGCCGGCGAGCGGCGGCGTGTCCATGACCGGCGAGCGGACAGCGTCGCCGTAGCGCGCGTAGCAGACGGCTGAGATGGGGAGGTAGAAGAGCAGAGTCCCTGCCATCGAGGCGACCACGGTGCGCGGGTAGAGGCGCGGGCTGCGCATCGAGGCGCGGACGGAGGGGAGGACGGGGTGGACGCCGTACGCGAATCCGAAGGAGGCGAAGGCAGAGCCGAAGGCGAAGGCGTCGCTCGCGACGAGGGCAGTGCGCGGGGGCGAGGCGGGCGGTCGCTCGAGCGAGGCGGCGACCACGGTGCAGAGGAGGGCGACGTTGACGGCGATGTTGAAGTACGAGAGGAGGGCGACCTCGCCGAGCGTCTTGAGGAAGACGTGCAGCCACACGAGCGCTGCGACCAGCGCCACGGAGGCGGCCATGCTCAGCGAGTCCGCCGCGAGGGAGTGGATGTTGAGCGCCGCGAGGAGGTGGTACACGATCGCCACCCCGACCAGCGTGATGTGCACCTGCGAGTTGACGAACCACCTGCCCGGCCTACCACACACACACACCGGACCTCTGCGCAGGAGGAGGACGCGGTGCAAGAGACTCCCTCCAACCTAGACTCCTAGAGGCACACCGGCCATACGCAGCCTCGCCGAGGTCGCCGTACGAGACGCTGCTCGCGCCGCGAGGAGGAGGAGTCGCGCGGCTCGCGAGGGAGGCGCGCATTCCGCCCGCACGCCGCTCCTCCTCCCCCACGAGCACGATGCAGCGGCCGAGGAGCGCGGCGGTGTAGGTCGCCATCGCAGCCATCAGCACGAGGAGCGGCACGCCGACCCACCCGGAGCGCGAGACTGCGTACGGGAGGTTGAGCAGGCCGGTGCCCACGACGATGCAGAGAATGTTGAAGCTGGCGCCGAGCGCTGAGGAGGTGCCCGTGCCCGCCTCGCCCGCCGCGGAGGCCGCCTCGTCCTCACGCTCGCCCGCGCCGGCTGATGGCGTGGCGCCCGAGCGTGCCCATGCCGACACAAGCCGGGCCGCCCTCGAGCCCCAGCGTCGGCCGGAGGGAAAGGTCTGGGGTTCGCCTTCCCGTGCTTCGCCGGCGGCCTCGTCGGCAGCCTGACACTGCGGCGTGGCGGGACCGCTCTGCGCTCCGCCCGGAGAGTTGAGGACGAGAGGCGCGGTGAATGCGCGGCGCGAACACGTGGCGGGCTCGGCACTGATTCTCCGCATCAAGCGCATTCGCTATCCGCTCTCAGATGGACCAGGCAGGAAGGAGTGGGTGGGAACAGATGAGCTGAGGTGGCTAGCTTGCGTCGAGGAGGCGCCGTATGGTACACATAAAATTGCAAAGGAGTCAGAGAAAGCAAGTCGTGAAAAAGAAAACAGTGCGACATGCCGGCACAGCTGCTCCAGCTCCACTGCAAGGCCTTCCTCGAGCTCGACCTGTGGCGCGAGCGGCTGCGCGGCCGCGTGCTCATCACGCTGCGCGCGCCGCTGCCGCCGGAGCTCTGCCTCAACCTCGGCAGCAGCGCGTCAATCGAGGCCGCTCGGCTGACGCCGCACGGAGGCCGCACTGTCACCCTGAGCCCAGAGTCGCTGCCGGTGCGTGCGCTGGTGGACGAGGTGGTGCCGCAGCGCTGGAGTGCGACGCGCGACGCCGGGTCGTTCGAGCGCTGCCACGGCGCCGCGCTGCACGCATCGGGCGATGGCGACGTGCGGCTTCGGCTGCCCGCGGAGCTCGCCGAGGCCGCGGGCGGCGAGGAGGCGGCGGAGGGCGGCGCCGTGCTCGACATCGAATACACAGTCGACGAACTCAGTGGCGCCATCCACTTTGCTCGGCGCGTGCGCGGAGGCGCCGCCGCCTACGCCCACACTGTGCCGCAAGCGGGCGCCGTCCGGCGCTGGCTGCCTTGCGCCGACGTGGCGACGGCGCGCTGCTCGTATGAGCTCCACCTGGCACTCGCCGAGCCGCCCGAGGGTGCCTGCCCCTCGCCAGACGCGCGCCCGCGAGTGGTGGCCTTTGGGAGCGGCACTCGCGTCGGGCCTCCGCCCTCGTGGCCGCCAGAGTGGTTTGGCGGCGGCTCCTCGTCGTCCTCCTCCTCCGCCGCCGCCGCCGTCGCGCCGTGGGCGCACTGGAGCTGGTCACTGGAGCGGCAGGCGCTCGCGAGCGAGGTGGGCTTCCTCGTGGGCCACGAGGCGGCGCTGCAGAGCTGCAGCCACCCGACGGAGGCCGGAGTGACGCTGGCGCTCGGCAGCCTGCCCGCCGCCCGCGAGGCGGCCGCCCTCGGGCCGGAGGCGCTGGCGGGGCGGGTGCGGGGTCGGTGGCCGCACCTGCTCTACCTCTCCCGCAGCCTGCCGACCATGCTCGCAGAGCTGAGGGCCTTCCTCTTGCCGCCGCCGCCCGCAGACCTCGCGGCTGCGCGAGAGGAGCCGGCCGCCGCCTCGGCTGCGCAGGCACTTGCAAATGGGGCGCTGCCCGCGCGGACCGCGCGCGACCCGGGAGGCGGCGGCGGCGCGGCGGTACGAGGCACCGAGGTTGGGGCCGAGGCGGGCCCGGGCGGCGGCGGCGGCGGCGGCGGCGCTCCTCTGGCGAACGGCCACGCCACCGCCACCGCGCCCGTCTCTGCCGGACCGGCGGGCGGAGGTGCGGGCGGAGGTGCGGGCGGAGGTGCGCTGCGGCCGGCGGAGGAGCCGCACGGGCACCTCGTCGTCGCCGCGCTGGAAGGGGCGTACTGCGAGTGCGCCGCCGTCGGCGGGCTCGTGCTGCTGGACGCGTCGCTGCTGCACCTACCCGCCGCGATCGAGCCAGCCATCTCGCTGCGGGTCGGCCTCGCGCGGACGCTCTGCCGCTCCTGGGTGCGGGCGGGCGCGCGGCTCGACTCGGAGGAGGACGCGTGGCTCGCGATGGGCCTCGAGGGCCGCTTCGCCGAGAAGTACACCGCCGCCGCCTTTGGCAGCAGCGAGGCGGTCCACTCGGCGGCACGCACGCGGCGGCAGCTCTGCGCGGCGAGCGCGCTGCACGCAGCCGGGAGGGCGGGCGGCGGAGGGGCGGCGGCGGCAGAGGCGCTCGTGCCGGGCGTGGAGGAGCTCGAGCGGTGGGGCGGCGGCCTGCACGAGGAGCAGCGGTGGAGTTGGCTCCGCCTTCTCAAGGCGCCGTGGGTATTAATTAACTATTAATTAACTATTAATTAATATTAATTAATGCCTCCTCAAGGCGCCGTGGGTGCTCCGCATGGCCGAGGCGAGGATGGAGGAGCGCAGGCCGACCGACGGCGTTGCGGCGATGGCGCAGCTGTACGGCCGGCTGGTGCCGCTGCGGCCGTGGCACGCGGAGCGGCCGCTGCGCTCGACGCGCGCCTTCTTCGAGGCGCGCCGCGTCGCGTACGGCCGCGAGTAAGCTCGGCCAATCTCGGCTCATCTCGGCTCATCTCGGCTCATCTCGGCTCATCTCGGGGCAGGCGTGCCGCGTCGAGTACGGCCTCGACCTCGACGCCTTCGAGACGCAGTGGGTGAGCGAGGCGCGCCCGCCGATCACGCTGCGCGCCGGCTTCTCGTACTCGCGCAAGCGCTTCGTGGCCGAGGTGGCCGTTGTGCAGAGCGAGGGCGCGGGCGGCGCCGCGGCGGCGTGTGGCCCGTCCCTGGACGGGATTACGGTCGGGTGGGGCGAGGTGGACGCAGCCGACGGCGCCGTCTGCCGCAAGCGCAAGTTCGCGCTGCGCGAGCCGGCGCGGCTGCTCGAGAGGGCTCGAGTCGAGAGCGGCCCTGAGCTCACCCCGGGACGGTGCGAGGCTAGGCGCAACTGCTCGAGATCGAGGTCGAGTCGAGGCGGCGGCGAGGCCGGCGGAGAAAGCGAAAGGAGCGGCGGCCGGCGGCGGCCGGCCGGTGGGCGGCGGGCGGCGGGCTCGCGGCGGCGGAGGAGGAGGAGGAGGAGGAGGAGGAGGGCGCGCCGGGCGCGGACGTGCCTCTGCTGTGGCTGCGGCTCGACCCCGAGTACGAGTGTGTGTTGCAGGTACCCGAGATTGCCCGAGATGCCCCGAGATGCCCCGAGATGCCCCGAGAGTACCAGAGAGTTACACCGAGGACGAGTGCGCGATACAGGTCGTGTGGCCCGCGCGCGAGGACCGGCGGTGGGTCGGTACGCCCGAGTTCATGGCGCGCGAGCAGCTCGAGCACTCGCGGCACGTGGGCGCGCAGATCGAGGCGACGCACTCCCTCGCCTCCTTCGGCACTGGCACGGCGATCGCCGCCCTCGCCGAGCGGCTGAGCGACGCGCGCACCTTCCACCGCGTGCGCGCCGCCGCGGCCTCCGCCTTGGGCGAGCTCATCTCGCCGGCGGACGACTTCGCGGCGCTGCATGCCCTTGCGCGGTACGTGCGGCGGCAGCACTGCGACGGCACGGGCCTGCTGCTGCCGCTGCAGTTCGTGCCGCTCGACGCCGCCGACGAGGACGAGATTGCGGGGCGGCTGGGCCACTACCTCACCCTGCGGGCGGTGGTGGAGGCGATCGGCCGCGCGCGCGACGGGCAGGGCCACACGCCCGCCGCAGCGCTCTCGCTGCTGCACGAGCTCCTCGACGATTCGTCCAACGCCGCGAACCCGTGCGACGAGGGCTTCCTGCTCGGCTCGCTCGTCGAGGCGGTCGGCGCCGCGCGGCCGAGAGGAGGAGGGGCGGCTGCGGCCGGCGCGGACGCGGACGGCGGTCGGGCGGGCGAGGCGGGCGAGGCGGGCGACGGCGACGCGGCGCAGAGTGTCGGGCGGCACGTCGCTGCGGTCACGGCGCACGTGCGGCGGCTGCTCGCGCTGGACGTGATCCGGCCGTCGCACGGGAAGGTGCTGACCTGCAGCTGCCTGCGGGCGCTGGTGCAGCTCGAGACCGCTTGGGCCCTCCCCCCCTCGTGGGCCCTCTATCTCGGCTACGACGCCGACGTCGACGCCCCGCCCTCTGTGCGCCTCGAGGCGGCGCGGTGCCTGCTCTCCCTCGCTCTCGAGCCGACGCTGCGCGCACCCTCGGCCGGCGAGGCATCGCGGCCGGCGGGGGCGCCGCGGCCCGGCGACCCGGCGCTGGCCTTGGCGCTGCAGCTCGACGAGGCGCGCGCGCACGCGCCGCTCGAGCGGCTCGGCTTGTGGCGGGCCCTCTGCAGCTTGCTCGAGGCGGCAGAGGAGGCAGAGGCGGCAGAGGCGTTGGCGGCGAGGGCGAGGGTGGAGGCCGACGGCGAGAGCGTGGCGGCTGCGGCGGCCAGCTCACCGGGCGCGCTGGCGTGCGAGCGTGCTGCCTTCGCCACTCCCGGGGACAGCGCCGCCGCGGCGAGCTGCCAGCTGCTCTGGCAGCTGATGACAGCCGGCAGCGAGGCCCGAGTGGGGCCGCACCCCTCCCGCCCTCCTCTCACGCGTCTCTCCCCGAATCTACGCAGGCCACGCCGACCCGAGCGAGCCCGGTCGGCGAGCGGCGCCGGACGTGCGGCTGCGGCTCGTCCTCTGCCGCGTGTGGCGGCTTCTCTTTGGTGCCGACGCCCCGGCCTGCCTCGGCGCGCCCACAGTGGCCATCGGCCCTCGCGAGGTCCTTCCCGGGTACGTGCCGCCCTACCTCGAGCGCAAGAAGGCGGAGCGCAAGAGGGCGGCGCACATCGCCGCAGAACAAGAACGGACGCGCAAGGCAAAGAATGTCCTGAAGCTCGCCACCACAGCCACGGGACACATTGTCCACGACCGGCACAACATGGGGCAGCATATTGAGGCCATCCTCTACGAGGAGGGACTCGAGTGGAACGTCGAAGGCGCGCTGCCACCCTTTGTCAAGGCCATCCGCAAAAAAGTGGATGACTATGAGCGCCGCGCCGAGGGCAAAATCACCTTCGACAACGATCTGGTCGAGGCGGCGTTGCCAGCCGTGCTTGCCCTGCCCGCGGGTGCGCCGCTGGGTGAGGGGCCGCCGCGTGCCGCGTCGCCGCCGCCGCAGCAGGGGCTGGTGATCAAGCTGAAGATCTGATGTGCAGATTTTCTTTATTTTCTGTCTTGCGTCTTATATTGGAAAAAAATAGAGTTCTCCAGGAGAGATTGCTGATTGGGCGACGCACCGACGCACGATCGCACGAACACAGAGAGGCACAGTGCGCAGCACCCCGCCCCGCTCGCAGGGCGCGGTGCATCACACAGGTGGGCTGTGTGACTCCTCGGGGTTTCTGGGGTCTCTTGTGGTCTTGTGTCTTGACTGGAGCTGGCGGGAGCACTTGGAGCACTTGGAGTGCAGTTATCAGCCGAAAAAAAGACGGAAAAGTTTTTCTTCCCAAAACTCATTCGGCAATGCATCTGTTCCTCGCACAAGCGCTCCTCTTCAGCCCCCGCGCTTCCCAACGGTCGTCATTGGTTGTGGCGGCGAGCGCAAACAGACCTGCAGACACCGCATCACTTCGAGGAGTTTACGCACGGGCGCCTCCGAGCTCTGAAGATGAGGGCGAGCGGCGGAAGAAGGGGCGTGGTCTGAGTCGGAGAAGGTTGAAGCAGGCGAAGAAAGCAAAGAGCGCTGCGATGATGCCATCCGACCAGTACCTGCAGCAGGTCCGAGCAGCAGAGGCGGCGGCAGCAAGGGAAGCGAAGGAGGCCTCAGAGAAGGAGGCGACGCGAGCAGCGGAGGAGTCGAAGGCGAGGGTGGCAGCAGAGGCACAGGCGAGGGAAGCCGAGGAGCGGCGGCGATTCGAGGCAGCGAGTGCGGAGAAGGAGGCGAGGTCAGCGGAAGAGGCCCAGGCGAGAGCAGCGGTAGAGGAGCAGCAGCGATTTGAGGAGGAGCAGAAGCGACGGGAGCAGGCGAGGGCAGCAGCGGAGGAGCAGCGGCGATGGGAGGCGGCGAGAGCAGCGGAGGAGGAGGCGGCGAGGATTGCAGCGGAGCAGGCACGGGTGGCGGCGGAGGCGGCGGCGGCGAGGGCAGCGGCAGAGGAGCAGCGGCGATCGGAAGAGGCGGCGAGAGAAGCGGAGGAGGCGCAGGCGCGGGCAGCGGCGGAGGCGGCGGTGCGAGCGGCGGAGGAGGAGCTTGCCGTGTTGAAGGAGGCGAGGGCGAGGGAGGCGAAGGAGCAGAGGCTGGAGGCAGAAGCGCAACGCGGATGAATGAGTCACGAGGCGGTGTTGGTCCTCGCCACGTGACGTCGACAACTGTAGGCGGCAAGGGAGGCGGCGGAGGAGGCGGCGGCGGAGGCGGCGAGGGAGGCTGCGGCGGAGGCGGCGAGGGCAGCGGCGGCGGAGAGGGCTGCAGCGGAGGCGGCGGCGGCGGCGGCGGCGAGGGTGGCGGCGGAGGAGGCGGCGGCCACCCTCGCCGCCTCCGCCGAGGCGGCCGCTGCGGAGAAGGCTCGCAGGGAGGAGGAGGAGGAGGCCGAGGCTGCACGCGCCGAGGCGGCTCGGGTCGAGGCGGAGAAGGCGGCGGAGGAGGAGGCGGCGGCTCGAGTCGAGGCCGAGCAAGAGGCGGCGGCGGAGGAGGCGAGGGCGGAGGCCGAGAGGCGGGCCGTGGAGGAGGCGGCGAGGGCGGAGGAGGCGAGGCTGGCAGCGGAGGATGCGGCGAGGGTGGAGGCTGAGGAGGCGGCGAGGCGGGCGGCGGAGGAGGCGGCGAGGGCGGAGGTGGAGGCGCGCCGCAAGGAGGCGGCGGAGCTGAAGCGCAAGCGGCGAGCGGAGGCGGCGGCGGTGCTGAAGCGGAAGAGGGCGAGCCTGCTCGCCGACCGCAGGGCAGCGGCGGTGGCTGAGGCGGCGAGGGCGGCGGAGGAGGCAGAGGCGTGTGTGGCGGACGCGCTCGCCGCGTCCGCCTCGCCAGTCGACGCGCAGCAGGCCGCCATGGACAAGGAGGCGCGCGGCGGCTGTGAACCCGCGCCCGGCCAGCCCTCCGGCCGCCGTCGAGTCCGCCCGTGCCCGTGCCCCGCCCGCGCAGGCGGCCGCAGAGGCGGCGCGGCAGGCGACGCTGACAGCGCGGCAGGCGGAGCTGGCCGAGGAGGCGAGGAAGGAGGCGGCGGAGGAGGCGGCGGAGGCGACCAAGGAGGCTGCGCGCGCGGTTCGCTCCGCAGCCAAGGACGCGCTCTTCAGCGCTGCGGCCGCGGCGGCCGAGGCGACGGCAGCTCTCACAGGCAGAGCGGCTGAAGAGGCGGCCAAGGAGGCGGCCAAGGAGGCGGGGGGCGACGCCCGCGCCGGCGCGTCGTCGCGGCTGTGGGCGGCGGGCGGGCGGCTCGCTTCGTTCGCCTCGTCTTGGGCGAGCGGGGCGCGGCAGGAGCTCGAGGGCGGCCTCAAGGAGCACCGCGAGGCGCGCGTCCCCCGGCGGGGGGAGACGAGCCGCGCGTCCCTCTCTCTCTCTCTCTCTCTCTCTCTCTCTCTCTCTCT